CCTTGGGCTCCTTTTCTCCAGGGTGAACAAGTGCAGGTTCCTCAGCCTTGTAAGACTTGTGCTCCTTGTAAGACTTGTGCTCAGCCCCTTCACCAGCCTCATTGTTCTTCTCTGGACGTGCTCCAGCACCTCGGTGTCTTTCCTGTAGTGAGGGGCCCAGAACTGAACCCGGTACTTGAGGTGCAGCCTCGGCAGTGCCAAGTACAGAGGGACAGTCGCTCTTCTGGTCCTACTGGCCACGCCGTTCCTGATATATGCCACGATGCTGTTGGCCTTCTTGGCCACCTGGGCACGCTGCTGGCTCATGTTCAGCTGGCTCTCAGTTGACATCCCCAGGTCCTTTTCCACCAGGTGGCTTTCCAGCCACTCCTCTCCAAGTCTGCAGCATCGCCTGGGGCTGCTGTGATCCAGGAGCAGGACCTGGCACTTGGCCTTGCTGAAGCTCCTGCAGTTGGCCTCTGCCCACTGATGGAGCCTGTGCAGATCACTCTGTAGAACCTCCCTACCCTCAAGGAGATCCTGAGTGTAGACTCCCACACAACCCAGCGTCATCTGCACACTTATTGAGAGTGTGTTCTATCCCATCATCCAGATCACTGATGAACCTATTAAACAAAACCGGCCTCAATGCTGAGCCCTGGGGATCACCAATTGTGACTGGCCACCAGCTGGCTTTAACTCCATTCACCACCATTCTTTGGGCCTAGATATCCAGTTTTTACCCAGTACAGTACACAGATCTCATGGTGATGTCACAGCATTTAGAACATTAGCAGTGGCAGTTGGCGACACCACCAGCTCAGGACAGGTATAAAATGGATTGCGCCAGCCCAGGCTGGCGGATGAGCTGTCAGGTGAACAAGAACAGGGAAAGGAGGACATTTAGGCAAAGGCTGCCCATGGTGATGGAGGACAGCTGCTTTGTACTAAAGTTGGTCATTTGGACAGGAAAATAACCAAAGCACAGCACACTCCTCTCCTCTTCCTCCTCTGTCACTAAGCTGGAGACTTGCCAATAGTCTGCAAGACAGATAACTCAAGACCTAGCCCACAGTGGTGTTCGAGGGAGCTGGAAGTGCCCCAAAGACATGGGCAGAGAGCTCTGTGCCCTTTTTTCACTGAGTACACCAGAACTGAGCTCCTGGCACTAGCCCTAGTGATAGAGTGGCCATGTCAGTGCGAAGAATGCTGCTGCTTGCCAGCTCTTTTTGGTGCAGAATGGGTGCCTCCTGTCCACTGAAGCATGGAATAGACAACCTTGGTGTAAGACTGTGAGAGCGCCAGGCAAGTAGGCAGGAGCTGCCCATAACAAAGGGTAGCTGCTTCCGTTGGAGGTTCTCCTGTCTTTGACAGCTGCAGCCCTGGATAAGGACACGAGTAGACCATGGCACACTTCTGTCTTCCTCCTTCTCCACCACTCAAAGGAGTCTTGCAACTTTATACAAGGATACTGACCCAAGGATAAAGAAATACCTTAACCTGTAGCTCTACATCTTATCTCATATCCTGTGACAGGAAGCTGGAGAGTGCACAACTGTGGAGAAAACGAGTTCTGCAATACCTACCTTCTCTGAAGGTGATGAAAGAACAGTTTAAACATGAATCTTCCAACTCATGAACCCACTGGCTGGTTTTTTTTCTGTTCTGTCTTTTAGTCAGGCAATAGTATTTAAAGAATTTTAGACTACGGAAATGATTAAGCTTCATAATAGTGCTTGCAAATCACAAGTTTCAATCATCAAGTGCTGAGTCATGCAAACCTATATATTCCTGGTGCTTTAGTAATCAGTTTCACACTCCTTTAGAAATAGTTAGTCTTGATGTTTCTCACAGGACAGAACACTTAATGAAACTTTCATTTCTTTGGCATGTAATTTAGATAGCTCTAAGTAGCAATATTGCTACTGAATAGGTTTGTGGGGTTTTCTTCCTTTCATAGAAGCTTTCACATTTAGGGATTCCCCTACTCCTGTCTTTTTAAAAATCTCATAGAATCATAGAGTGGTTTGGGTTGGAAGGGACCTTTAAAGATCATCTAGCTCCAACATCCCCACCATGGGGAGAGACATGTCTCAATAGACCAGGCTACTCAAAGCTCCATCCAGCCTGGCCTTAAACACAGTGACGGGGCTTCCACAACCTCCCTGGGCAACCTGCTCCAGTGTCTCATCACCCTCACAATAAAGAATTTCTTTCTAACATCTAATATAAACCTACGCTCTTTTAGTGTGAAGCTGTCAGCCCTCATTCTATCACTACGTTCCCTGACAAAGAGTCCTTTCCTAACTTTCCTGTAGGCCCCCTTGAAGTACTGGAAGGCCACTGTAAGGTCTCCCCAGAGCCTTCTCTCTCCAGGCTGAACAGCTCAAACTCTCTCAGCCTCTCCTCAAACAGAAGGTGTTCCATCCCTCTGGCCACTTTTGTGTTCCTCTTGTGGACATGCTCCAACAAGTCCACGTCTATCTCATGTCGAGGACTCCAGAGCTGGACATAGTACTGCAGGTGGGGTCTCAGGAGAGCAGAGCCGCAGAATCACATCTCTCAACCTGCTAGTTTAACGAAGCCTAGGACGCAATTGGCTTTATAGGCTGCGAGAGCACATGCTAGCTTATGAACAGTTTTTCATCCACCAGCACACTCCCAAGTCCTTCTCTGCAGGCCTGCTCATCACCCAGCCTGTATGTGCTTGGAATTGCCATGACCCATACACTTGGCCTTGCTGAACCTCATGAAGTCTGCACAGTCCCACCTTCCAAGCCTGCCAAGGTCCGTCTGAACTATATCCCTTCCCTTCAGCATGAAATCACACCACAAAGCTCCATGCCATGAGCAAACTTGCTGAGGGTGCACTCGATCCCACCATCAATCATTACAACAACCGTTTTATGAATTTGACAGTATACAAAGATAAGTAGCCTTGTGACACTGAACAGGTTCGAGAAGAGCATTTTTCTTACAAAAAGGCTCAAAAGTTTTATTTCACACTCTCATCCTGTGTTTCAAGGAAGCTCATTTTATTTGTGGGAGCAGCACTTGGTCTTTTGTATTTCTAACTCAGGAGCACCCCTTTATGCAATGCATCAGCTAGGTAAGCATTTAAGTGTTAGTTAAGTGACCCTAGAGGACCATAACATCTCTAAACTGCTTGTTTTGGTAAAGATCTTAAGAAATTAAGCTGGAAATGATCATTCCTTTATTTCCCACAACCAGAAGGCTACTCAGTTCTTAAAACTTGTAAAATTTAAGATAATTTTCAGACAAGTTCATTCAAGCCTCAAAAAAAGCATAAAAAAAAAAAAAATCACATAATCAGGACTACCACATCATGGGAACTTCAAAGTTCCATGGTGTGCCCAGACTTGAGGTCTGTGCAGCCTGACCAGGGAACAACTGCCAAACCCCGAAGTCAGTTTTGAATTCTAATCTCTGAACAGTCCAGGTGTTATGGACTGGTTAGGATAATTTCACCTGTAACTTAAGTAACTTTAAGTTGGTATATATTTTTCATATAAGCTAACGTATGAAATATACTGGTGGATTTATACTACTGTAATAGACCACCATGTAGACCACCACAGTATACACTATGTTCTATACGGCCTATAGATGTTTGATAATAAAGCATCCAGTATCTCCAAGAAAATGTTCTTGCAACAGCCTGGAAAATTCCCTCTCAAAATTTCTAAAGGTGCTATATGGGCTTTTACAGCCTCTGGAAATAAACCAGCCTTCAGTCCTCTGCGTGCATCATCTCCAACTGTCCACAGCTGTCAATTATCCCAAGAACAGTTTCAAAGATTTCGCTGTTAGTAATAAGTCTCAAACATTTGAGATTAGTTACTCCAAAACACTTACTGAGTCTCTCAACGCAGGGCCAAAATAAAACAGCTCCAATTAGGCAACAGTTCTCTTGAATGTCAAAGTTCAATGTTGCCTCTCACAGCAGAAATCAAACTAGATCTGGGAGAAATCCTCAAAAACTACATATCACTCTTTTCATATTTAGATATACAGCTCATACTATTTAAGTTCATTTTGATATAAGACATAGTCTACCCTACAATTATTTTGGTGCTTTTATTTAAACAAATTAATATGAAGACTGCAAAATCAGTTTTACTACGGCATAAAGAGCTCGGATACAGCAAGAGAAAAATGTTCTTACCCAAATGTCCTGTTTTTCACCAATCGGAAAATTTGAATACAAATCTATCATTTCTGGTGTCCTGTACGTCGGAGTTGTATTCCTTGTGATCTGCAGAAACAGAATTTCTTGAAACGGAGACTTAAATAATTAGCTCTAATGGCATTCAAGCAAGGAAACACCTCTCCATATAGAATGGATAGCATTCTCACTCTGAAAATTAATTTCATAAATACTAGTCAAGGAAAAATCCATCAACTGAATGCTGCAATAGCCACAACAGCTTTGATATAAGACCAGATAAAGATGGCAGTACTCAAATACCATTGTGGTATTCAAGAGTCCTTCCAAAGTGCAAAGCGCATGAAGTAAAATGACTGTTCTACATGAGGGATACAAACACAGAAAATCAACAATAAACCAAGAAGTGAACTGATGCTCCAGTACACGTTGCTCGCTTAACCTTCACGATTAATGACAGTGCAGACACATCCAAAGAGCTAAACCATGTTTCCAAGGATCCAAGAAAAGACCTTTTGTACCATCTTTTTTGCATAGACAACTAAGACAGTAGTACAACACCATGTTTTCTCCAGAAACCAATAGACTGCTCTTTAAGGATGCTGCATTCCAAACCAGGGAGAGTTTGCAGGGACTGATTTCAGATGTTACACACTGTAATTAAGTGTCACTGTATTCTGCCATACTTACGTCTCAGTCCAGTTTATGTGTCAGATTAGATTTACCAGCATTACACTCAACTTCAAATGAAGAACAAATGCATTTTGGGGAAAAAAAAAAAAAAAAGAAAAACAGGCCAAACAAAATCCACTGAATACCTGACAGTGTCACTGCAGTCCTAGAGGCACTGCCATACTGGCAGTATTCAAATTCTGCTGAGTAAACTTGCAACTCATTAAACTGAGACAAAAGCAGGTAAGACAGTGGGAATCACTTTGACATAAACATTTTTTTACTTCCTGTTAAGAGTGCAAGTAGAAGAAGCTCTTCTAATCATTTCTGTTTTCATACCACATTGCAGAACGGACAACAATCAAATTGAAGCAGTGTTTGTATACACAGCTACAGAACAGAAGCTATTACTGCAGACAGTGTTTGAAGTCTGGCAACATGAGTACCAAATCAAAGCTTTAGCAACAGCACTAAAACTGAAACAATCTTCAGTTATCTTGGAAGTCCCATGACTCAATATCAGATTAATACTAAGAGTTAAATGAAACCACTGTTGATATTAAGATTAATGATATTAAAACAATCTCACCTCTTCTTCAACCAGTGCTCTCTTTTGTGCAGTCCAGTTGTAGTCAGGATAGTAAGCTATGGTTGTAGCACTACCAAAGTCACAAAGTTTAATCGTCCCTTGGTTACTAATAAGCAAGTTTTCCACCTTCAAAAACAGGCAGAATAAGAAATTAAAGACGTCTTTTACTCTGCACACTAAAACACATGCTTTTAAACAGCAACTCACTTGTGCATATATATACCAGAAATACTCACTGCAGTCCAGAATGCTGCTTACTGGAGCACAAATACTTCAGACAGTACCGTGGAAGTATATGTTAGCAATACAGTCATTTTTAAAAAGGAAGCACCAAAACCACTATGAGCAGGAAACATTCAAGAGAGCAGGAAACAAACACCAGGTGTAAAAAAAAAACTAATCATTTTATTAGTGCTTAAGAACAGGCCAGATATTCAGAGGACCACTTGCAGAAGCGGTGTCTTGGAATCCAAATGTTTTCATGTACAAAACTGAACACTGTTAGCTTAACTGCAGTAGACTGCTGTAGACACACAACAGAAAGGTACTAGTAGAGAAGCAGGTTGCTGCGACAAACCCACAAAGAGGCAGCCATGACCCTGTGCAGAGACAGAAACCAGTCATCTGAGTATCATGTGCTACCCGAGCAGTTCATCAGCATCTCTCCCTTTTTCTACTTCACAAAATCCAGTCTTACTGGATTGCTAAGGGATTGCCTGGCAAAGAAATTAGGGAGAGGGCAAAAGTAGGTATTGGGCAGAAATATCCTGGGCACAAAAGGGCAGGAAAAACAACACATATTTGTATCTCTGTATGAAGTCATGAGAAGGTGTAAAGGTTAAGATGCATATGTTACATTCAACACCACACATCAGACAAACTAGGTTTTATCTTTGAAACTACATCTCTGGACTTCCTTCTGTAAAACCTCAGATTCTAGAACACCCTTCTAGCCCACCTTACACATGCCTCTTCCAACTTCTTCCACCATAAAACCGCTTCTGACTACACTTCAGGAAGACATAAGCTCTGTTAATTGCATGGCTAAAATATCAATCTCAGTGGGCAATTTGAATTCCCTTCCCTGTTAATACATCTTTTTGTTTATCTCCATGTACAATAATAAGGGTTGGGTATTCAACACCGAGCTTCTGTGTACACGTGTTCTGGAGTTTGTGCTTTGGTGAAGGTTGCAAATAACGTAAAACTTCCCAGCTGACTATTCAGATTAACAGGCTCTATGACCTGTGTTACACAGACCAGCTGTGCACCGCATGGCAAATCCTGAAAAGATCCAATTCAGACAACAGAAAAGCACTGGTATTTCACAAATCACTCTTTAACTAGCTTAGAATTCTTGAACTAAACAACGAGCTAGGTTCTTACAGTGCTGTATAAACACACTGGCAGTGCAAACTTTGTCCATAGGGGTTCAGGAACAAAGAATGCACTACACTAACAACTAAGAGAAGGAAACCAGGAGCACAGAAATAGCCACCACTACAATGGTGAAGTTATTTTTAAGTTGCACTGTGGAAGTTCATGAGTCTTTAATATTCTTCAAAGTAGTAAGAAAAGCCTGTTTGGACTCTAGTCTACTACACTCCTCCCCAAAAGCTACACTAGCATCTCAGGTCTCACCTGAGGTTGCATCAAAACTTTGACCTACTTTTTTTTTTTTTTTTTTCACACTGCTGACCTAAGTTCAGCCTTCTGGAAACAGCAGCACAGTTAAGTGACCCCTATTTGGCTCTGACTGTATTAAGGTCTCTGCCTATTGCAGCACTGCTATCACTTATTCTTGCTTTGCATCCTCTGTAACACGAAACCAACATGAAATGAAATTACTGCCTTTTTTCCATATTTTTTCTCTGCCAGTAACGTACCAGACAAGAAAAAAAGACCTTGCATTACAGCATTAGCTCAAATCCTAACCCTTAAAAGTTCAATTTCTATGAAGCTGGCTATGTAAGAAATTTTACATTTTTTTTGCAAGTACGTCTTTACCCTTTTTTTCAGAGAAGAGATGCATCTTTGCTACAAGCTTTTCCAGGTGCTGTTTTACAGAAACTTCAGTGAAGAAAAAGATTTTATTCTAGAAAGTAACATCATGAAAGTTCTACACCAGCTTGGGCAAAGCTTCTTCAGCTCCACTTAGAAGCCTGCTCAATTGTGATGACAGAAAAGAGAAAAGAGTGCACCATCATCAGAAGTATCTTCATATTAAGACACTATACTAACATGGAGTACCCAACATCAAATCTTTCAACAACAGTGCTGAAAACAGTTAGCACACATTTACTTTCAAAAGGTGCTTCCATTTTCCTCTTCCCAAAGTAATCAAGTACATGCTTAAACATGAACAAATTTTCCTTTTTTTATATTCAGGTGATGTAACACCAAGCAGGAAACGGACATGTGAAATTCAGACACTTTTAGGAACAAGAATGTTCTTCTTATTTTGTTTATGTTTAAAGAGTCCACCTCCTGCTACTAGGTTGACCTGTACTTGTAGTATAGCAGAATCCCACTGATTACTAGTGCTCCTTCATCTAAGGTATAGCATACACATAAAGGCCAACTCCTGCCTTCAAAATACAAAATTCAAAACATAGGTGAATTCCTTTCCAATGTTCAAAGTTTCTAAGGGACTCTTATTTTCTACAGCATAGTCCTACAGCTTCTTAGTAAAGGTTAACAGAATGAAAAATTAAGGAACTAAAAAAATCATGAATCATGCCTACCAATTTTAAAATTCAAGTTAAAAACAAGCCCTAAAATGCAATGCAAGTTGTTAGTTCTAAAACTAACGGCTTACCATACATTCTTAAAGGCTATGTAATCTTTCATGGTGAACCAATATAATCCTTTCCTCTTCAAATCTTTACTTCTTCTATTAAGAAAACCTGCACACTTCAAAACTACAGCTCACTGGTTATTTTATTTAAAGCAACTACTTAGAGTCAGCAAACCACAGTTCTGTTAGTTTGTTCAGAGAGAGTAGAAGCAGCACTTAACCACAAGCACAAGAAAAATACGTTGTTTGATGAGATGCAACTATTTCAGTGATGACCTACACCGATATCCAGAAGTCTTCGCAAGGCAACACATGTAAGTACTACAGTCAAGAGCATCCACAGTATTTGATCAGCTGATCCACCCCAATAGGCTCCTTTGCTGTTTACAAATTCAGCTTATGTTTAAACATAACACACCTTTAAATCTCTATGGATAATAGGAGGCTTCTGTTTATGCATATGCTGCACTGCTCTGCAGGTCTGATAAAAGATCTTCAAAACTGTGTCACAGGAGATAGATCCTTTGGATTCTACTTTCCTTAAGAATTCCACCAGTTGTCCTGCAGAAAATCAGAGAAATTCACATAAACACACACAGAACACTACAAATTCTGAAAGCGTGGCACAAATAGACAAATGCTTTTCTAGGCAATGAATAGTTACTGTTACTGTCTTGAGTTGTAATATTAGATTTTCTGAAAATTGCAGATCCACACTGTCTGCAGTGCCAAAGGAATTGGTGTTCTAAGGAACTATTCCTTCTCATGTGTTGCCTGATGTAGTTGAGAGGCGTCCCTGCCCATGACAGGGAGGTTGGACTAGATGATCTCTAAGGTCCCTTCCAGCCTAGGCCAGTCTGTGATTCTATGATTCCTTCCTCTCAGTAGTCTCAAATGAAAAGAACCTACAATTATCCCATCTTTAAGATCCTTATTCTATAGAAGATAAAGCTGGACTCTCTAGCTCCAGCAAACTATGCCATCTTTAAGAGGCTTTCAAAGCTTCTAAGCTGTGAAGCAACCTCTCCAAAACAGCTGTCAGAAGCAACACCCACTGATGGAAAAAAAAATAAAAATGTACCTTTACACAGCTCTGTAAGCAGAAGAAACTCTCCCTGTCCCGTGTCTGATTCTTCTTTTCCTATAGATGCAGCAGAGCAGAACTGGACAATGTTGGGATGACCTGAAAGTTTTTTCTGGAGATAGCATGTTCAAGGAAGACAACTGCCAGGTTTATTGATACAATTGTACAAATCCATGCCTCAGCCGAAAAAACAGATTTCAAGTGAAGCTACCAATGATAAAAGTGAAAATAAAACATTTTAAAAATTCTTGTGATTAGGGCTCTGAGGAAACCGGACTTCAGACCAGGCCTGTTTGTCAACGACTGCAAGGCATTAACACAAATACCAGGGACCTACCAAGTATCAGCTGCTTCTCTAGCTAGCTCATCGAGCAAGGGCTACTGCATCAATAACTTGTTCCAAAGAAAGTATTAAATGTTAAGTTCCAATATTAAGTAATTAAAGCTCAAAACAAATAAGAGCTCTAAAAGATCAAGGAACTTATCGTCCCATCATTAATAAAGATTTTAGTACGAGGAATTATTATCATGTCTCACCTACAGCTCAAAAATTCAAGCTATTATTTCTAAATTATGTACAAGGGAGTAAAATCAAAAAACAAAACACAAAACAAAAACAAAAAACATTTGTTGTTTCTACTGCATGTACAAAAATTCCTTCCTTAATATTTGGTATCACTTTTTGAAGCCAAACACATCTGAGGTAGAAATTAAGAAACATTGAGAGTAAAAGCAAAGTTTGAGTAGTCAAAAATGCAATAAATCCAGTGCATGTGAGGGAAATCTACTTAAGATTTAAATACTGTCTGAATAGTCAAGAAGTCTCTTGACCATGGTCACAAACTGCAGAAAAGCTCAAATAATTTCACCTCCTGATGGACAAAGTACATGACAAAGTCTAAACTAGGTACAAAAGTTATCTGCACACATTAAATTCCTGGAATCTTTTGAAGAACGGAACTTGCTGGATGTTGGTGGCAGATTCATGACAAACCAGAAACTCAGACTTTTCTCAGAATGTCAGGCCTCAGTGTATGGCATGAAAATGAACACAATCTGTAGAGTAATCTTCTATTTCTTATAAATGTTTGATATGAGGCAATTAAATTGGCATATTAACATATGTTCCAGAAAAGGATACCATAAAACAAACTTCCTGAATGATGGCTTTGTTCTTTTCTTCTTCATTAGACAACAACCTCTGTCAGGAAACAGTAATTGAGAAGATAGTTATTAAAACTTGCAGAAAAACAGTGCACTTTTTTTCCAGAACACAAAGGATAAGCTACAACAAAAAAAAACCTAAGGAACTGTGACAGCACAGCAAACAAAGCAGGCTTACTGTACATTTGGACGTACTGCCACAAATATGATACCCAGTTTCCCAGCTACCTGTACTGTTCAGGTTTAGTGACAACTGGGCAGTAGCAACCTTTGACAGTCATAAAGTAACTGGTCTGACAGTATTCTGTTTTACAAAGAAATTAAAGTCTCCTGGCTGCAGCATTAGACACCTTGCCTCAAATGTTTAAGAACAACCTTCAACCCACTCCAACCAAAAGTTCTCCAAATTATGCAGACTAAGTTTTTCCATGGTACTTGAGTAACGAGCAGCAAAAATCAAGTATTACTCTTCCCAGTATCACTTGAATTTGGAGCAAACATTTGACTAGAATCAATCTGAGGATCTGCTACAAAAGTACGTTTTACAAAACAGAGGAAGTACAATAACGGTTCATCTTTTATCCGTTATTTTTAAATGGGGCTACTTCTAGATGAAATTTTGAACACACATATTGTATCGGTTCGACCCTTTGTTTTGTTACTGTAGGATGTGGTATGCAAAGGAAAAAAAACCACACCAAATAATTGCAAGTGGTATAATGCTATCTTACGTCTCCCGCTTGTCATACTACTACCCTTTTCACTTCCTATCCAAGATAGGTAACTTCATACTGATACAGCCACCGAACATCCCTGCTCCAAAAATGAAGCCATTTTGTGGTGAATAGAACTGTCATGATTCTTTTTTCTTGCAGTAAAACATTACAAAGTAAATCACTTCATTGTCCTTTCCATAATACTTAGTTTTTTCAGCAGTTACATCATTACTACAAGCTTTCAGAAAACAAGAATACAGAGTAATGTCTCTGAAAAAGCATCAGGCTGAATGTCTGACCAACAAGTCAAAGTGTCAAGGATTGCTTTTAATACTGATGAAACTTACTCTGGAAGTAAACAAATGAGTAGGCTAAATTTGCTTCTCAGAAAGGAAAATATTCCTGTACCTCACTTCAGTTAACACGGAAAGATTCTTTTTATCCATTCAACAAAATGCTTGAGGTAGGGTCAGGAATTTCAAGGCCAAATGAAGGCACAGCAGTAGCAGGTAATAGAGCAACTCCCATCTTTAAAGCACGAAGTGCAGGGTCCTATCTGGAATAATCATTCTAAATCCATGTACAAAGTGCTACAAACACCACTTTATCATTCTGAACTTTTCCAAATGACTTGTCCAGCAGCATAAATCAAGGATTAGCTGTCATGCTAAAGTATCAAGCAAAGACAGACCTTATAAACCTTAGTGAATTCATTTTACCTTTAAAGCATAATCTTTACCACTTCCAAGATCTTGAGCTTCATAAACAAATGCAAAACCACCTAGAAGAAGACACATTGTCAGTTTTTACTTCAACATGCAAGTAAATTATCTTTTTTAGTCTAACTGAGCTAACGCATGAATTTAGATAGTTTTCTGAATTTAGAAAATATACATATTTTTCAGTGGCTTGCCAAGGGTATGTGTAACCAACAGACAAGAATTAAAATATTCTCTTCCTTTCCTCTACAGGTGCCAGAAGTACACCTTGTCCCTTTCATGCATTTTGTCAGTCTGCATACACACTTCCTATGAAGCAGTTTTGTTATTTTTTTTTTTTTATACAGGTCCTTATAAAACAAGATTCAGTACAGCTAATGATTTTAACTAAACTAAACTACTTCTTGGTTTTACGCTGTTAAGCTTCAAAAAAAAAACAGCAATAATCAAGGAAGATAAAAAGTTAAATGTATACATTATCATACTTTGAGGGTAATTGCCATGCTTCAGGCTTCATACTGAAAGTAGAGAGCGTTTTCAAGTGCTGAAGCAAACCCTTCCAACAAAGGTGATGCTGTTACTGAATTGCACTACTTTCCTTCCAACTCCTTTTTGCAGAGTATCTATCACAAACACTACCAATTTGCACAAGAATCCTGTCCAAATTTCTACAAAGTAAAAAAAAGAAAAGTTAGAGGTCTGGTGAGCTTCCTCAAGTGCTAATTATTTCAAACCAACTGTATCAAAAGAATATACAGTTTATTCCAATTCCAAGATACTAGTATCACCTTCATTTCTTCTGGGAACATCATCCTCATGGTTATACCAACAGCATTGTTGCATATATGTTCTCTGTCTATTTCAGAGTATCTCTAGTAGAGTAATAGCCAAAGTGACAAGCTTCAATGATTCACCTTTCTGCTTCTTTAATATAAATTTCACTTCAACTGAACTACATAGCTCTGTTCTCTCTAGCAATAGTTTGGAGAACAAGCACAGAAGATTTCAGTGAACTACATTTTACTAGTGAACGAGAACAGGGTAACTGAAGAATGAACCACACAGGCAAGAAACAAGTTTACAAGGCACTTTTATTAAATATGCAGAATCTAAATCAGTAATTACATTAGTATCCAAATACTTTCTCTGTGGATGACGAACATTAAAATGATGCTGAAGTGAACACAGTATTTGCTTTGTGCACTTCGGTCAAACACAAGGATTTTCAAGAAGCACTCTCAGGAAGTTCTACACAGCAATTAACCATCACAGTGTTCTCCAAAACTCCTGAAGAGGTACCCCCCACACATCCTGTAACTTTACCAATAGCATCCATAACATGAAACGAGTAACTGAAAGACTCCTGGATATTGTTTTTTCCTTTGTATCTAAAGGGACATTATACACAGAATCATGATCCCAAACGCAGAGACAAGTAAAAGGGAGCAAGTAGTGCACCAGAGAAGAGTTTAAGTATCAGTGAGAACACTGACGAGAACAGTGGGCCGCAGTTCAACCCCACCACACATTACCCACGCATGCACTGCACTTATCCACATACTTTGACTCGTTCTGTAAATTCAGGTTCAGTACTTGCCACAACAGGAAGCTCCCTTAGTTCTTCTAAAGCCCCCAGTGCAAGTGTTCTGACCATCAAATATAAATAGCACTTGGTGCACCAACAGGACAGGGGCTGGAGACGGAATGGAGTCCATATTTACCACCATCTTAACGTGATACTTCTGGTCCTCTCTGAACAAGAACATATGCAAGAAAAACGTAGTCCAGGACAGAGCTGATCAATTTTAACAACTGTTTATGGATTTCATCAAGTTGCTCAAACAAACAAGGTAATCTGTGAGTCCTTCCCTGTTCATATCCAGAGCCATGTCCCAGGTTTTGAAGTCCACTGTCCCAGCGAGTTGCAAGCCCCTACACAACTAGACATCAGTCACTGCAACACCGAGCTACGACCTCCATGTCTCTGTCCTACACAGATCCCACAGACCTTGTACACAGTGAAGTGAAGTTACTGCTGGCCCTACAGAAGAAAGTCATAACATTTATCTTGACAAATATTTCTTTGATTTTTTTTCTAGTAACTCTGCAAGTAGCATCTTGAAAACACATGCTTCAATTTACAACATCAGGGACTTCAAGTCAACACAAATTTCTAGTACACCAAATCATTACACAGTCAATTTTCTGAAAAGCACTCAAACAAAATGGTGACAGAGACATTTCAGATGACGAAACAGTTACTCCACAAGTTCAGCTCAGCTGTGTATACTGCTAAGGGTTCTACCAGGGCTGGAATACAGAAAGCCTACTCTGCAATTCAAACACACACCTTGCTAGTACCTCTACAAATACAAACATCCACATAGCTACAGACAAGCACTCGGAAGTATAATGACGTCTTCATTCAAATGCACTAAAAGGCCATCTGGAAATTATAGAGGTGAAAGCACCTATGCATCACAATTAACTTATCAAATCAAGCCAAGTCACTATTTGAAAGTATATGTCTGATTAACAATTAAGCTGATCTAAACTCTGAAGAAGGCCCCTAGAAGCATTGTTATCTCTCCAGCTATTTCAATTACTTTGATAAGCTTTCCTACAAGCTCTTCCTCCAATATAGGAAATGCTTACAATACAGGCCAATTTGCACTTTATCAGTAAACTTAATCCTGTTGACACCAAGTATGGAGTACAAAAGAGGAATTAGTTTACCAAATGTCTTAAAAAAAAAAAAAAGTATTTCAAATTTTTGTGAAAGTGTCGATTATCATACGGTTAACCCAAAACTCTACCCAGTAGCCCTGAAATGTGCTCTCTCACTTTATAAATAATCATGAAATTCATGACCAAAACTCATCCACATTTATTAAAATACACAAGTTCATTTCTTGATGGAAAAGCCTGTGTTTTAACACTCAGAATCACAACGTTGTAACCACCTCGGAAAGGCTTCTAAAGTCTAAGTAATTTGTTTCATTTAAATGAATCTCATTTCCAACCAAAAAAACAAAAATCCATTTCAGTCCTCCTAACTGCCACCTAGGAATGTAAAGAAATTTTAAATTCAGTTTCACAGCTACTTCAAAAAAAAAAAGGTACTCATTTGGAGGCCTGTGTCTAGTGGGGTCCCTTAGGGGTCAGTGCTGGGCCCAGTGCTGTTCAATATATTCATCAATGACCTGGATGTGGGATTAGAGAGCACTGTCAGCAAGTTTGCTGATGGCACAAAACTGGGAGGAGTGGCTGACACCCCAGCAGGCTGTGCTGCCATTCAGAGAGACCTGGAGAGGCTGGAGGGCTGGGCAGGGAGAAATCTCATGAAGTTCAACCAGGGCGAGTGTAGAGTTTTGCACCTGGGAAAGAATAACCCCATGTGCCAGTAGAGGAGGTTGGGGACTGATCCGCTGGAGAGACATGTAGGAGAAAGGGACCTGGGGGTTCTGGTGGGCAGCAGGATGGCCATGGGCCAGCAACGTGCCCTCGTGGCCAAGAAGGCCAATGGCATCCTGGGGTGAATTAGAAGGGGGATAGTGAGTAGGTTGAGAAAGGTCCTCCTGCCCCTCT